TATTTAAAATAAATAAACCTAGTTTGAATTTCTGTCATTTGCAGAGTCTAGACAATACTAGGGATAAGAACAGATGCAAAAGACTGATTGGTGAGGCTATTATTGTCTGCAGGTGAAAGGTGAGAAAGGCTTGAATTACTGGTCATGAMGGAGGTGGAGAGAAGCGTGTTCAGAAGATGAGAGTGAAAGGGACTGGGTAACCAATTAGATTTGAGAGTGAGRGGGAAATGTGAGCATCCTCTATTTTTCTGCTTGAATATCTAAGGATACCATTMACTAAAATAGGAGATACTCAAGGAAAAACAACTTGGAGGATAGTGGTGAAAATAGATTTTTTTTTATTTGGGTCATATTAAATTTGGGATTCCTGAAAGATACACGTCTGTCTACAGTATCATTCTACTAGTCACTTAGACTTAAGATCATTGTCTTCTTTGACCTACCTCTTTCCATTCAATCATACAAATCCATGGTATATTCTATACCATGATTTAAAAGAATATATTCTATATTCTTTTAAATCCATCTTCTTAAAATATAATATGTAAAACTAAAATGTCTAAATTTTACATGTATAGTACAGTGAGTTGTGGATGCCTATACCTGTGTCACCACTGACACAACCAAGATACAGAACATTTCCATCACCCATGAATTTCTTCTGTTCTCCTTCCCATATCTCTCCTGCTCCTCCAACCCCTGGTCCTAGGCAAGCACCAATTTTTATTGCTATAGATTAAACTTGATTTTCCCATTTTTCCCCCATAGGTAGAAGCATGCAGTCTGTGTTCTTCTGTGTTTGAATTCTTTTGTTCATCCACCATAATGTTTGGTTTTTTTTCAGCATAATGTTTTTAAGATTCACTCATTTTACTGCTGAGTTATTTTGTGGAATGGGTGTGTCATGATTGTTGATCATTCTCTGTTGATGTATATTGAATTGTTTCCAGTTTATTTTGGAAATAAAGCTGCTATGTTCTCATCACATACAAGACTTCATGTRGACATATGTTTTTATTTTTCTAGAATAAGAACCTAGGAGTTGCATTACTAGGTCATATGGTAAGAGCATGTTTCTTTAAAGAAACTGCCAAATTGTTTCCTAAAGTGACTGTACCTCCAGCAATGTGTGAGATACTCAGCTACTTCCATATCCTTGTCAACACTTGATATTCTTTTTTTAATTTTAGCCATCCTAATGCATATAGAAGCAGTATCTCATTGYGGCTTAATTTGCATTTCCCTAATGAGTAATGACATTTGGCATTTTGTAAGGTGCTTATCTGCTATTTGTATGTATTATTTGAAGAAGTGTTTTCAGGTCCTTTGTTAGCCTTTTATAATGCCTTATTATTTTTAAATAATTATAGACTCATGGTAAATTAGACAAAAGYACAAAGGGACCCATATATCTTCTCCTAACTTTCTGAAGATGACATATTATATATTGAAGTGCAGTATCAAAACCAGGACATTTTCATTGATGTTACTATTAACAGACTTCATTCAGTTTTCACCTTTGACAGAATCAGGATTCATTTTGTATATGTGGGTGTTTGTAAATGTGTATATTGTTCCATGTAATTTTATCTCATGCATTAATTTGTGTGCCCTCCGTAAGATACCAAAGTATTCTGTTATCAAAAAAGAACTCCTCCTTATTGTATTACTCATCCCACCTTGTCCTTTGACCCTGTTCTTCTAGCAACCAGTAATCTTTTCCCTCTATATATAGTTTTATTGTTTTGAGAATACTATGCAAATGGAATTATGTAATATATAGCCTTTTGAGAATRGATTTTTACTTAGCACAGTTCCCTTGAGATTCACTCAAGTTTTGTCTATGAAGAGCTCTTCTCTATTGCTGACAATGTGCCACAATTGTAACCTTCTTCCATTAAAGGACATTTGGGGTGTTTCTAGAGCTTGGCTGTTTATAAAGCGGATGTGAACATACACGGGTGGGTTGTTGAGGGAATGTAGGTTTTCATTTATTTTGGAAAAATGCCCAACAGTATGACAGCTGGGTTATATGCTAAGTGTATGTTTGACATCATATGAAATTGCCAAACTATTTTTCAGAATAGCTGTACCAGTTTACCTTCCCATGAGAAATTTAGAAGCATTTCAGTTTCTCTACATTCTTGCCAGTATTTGGTATTGTCACTTAAAAAAATTTAGCTGCTTTAAAGGTATGTGGCAATATTATTGTATTCTTTTTTTAAGAGAGAGAGACAGAGAATTTTTTAATATTTATTTTTTTAGTTTTCAGTGGACACAACATCTTTATTTTATTTTTATATGGTGCTGAGGATCGAACTCAGCGCCCCACGCATGGCAGGCGAGCGCACTACCACTTGAGCCACATCCCCAGCCCCAATTGCTTATATTTTTAATTGGTATGTTYTTCTTCTTATTGACTTGTAAGGGTTCTTTACACATCCTGAATATAGACCATTTATGAGATATATGCTTTTCAAACACTTCCCCCAGTTAGTGGATTCCCTCTTTTCTTAACATCTCTTAAAGAGCAAATATTTATAATTTTGATAAAACCCATTTCATCAATTTTAAAATTATCTTTTTCTTTTGTGATCTTTGTGGCATATCTAAGAATATTTGCTTAACCAAAGGTAAAACAATATTCTATTTTTACTTAGAGTCATAAGTTTGCTTTTATCCATAGCCTATGATCCATTTTGAGTTATATTTTAAAATTTATTTATTTATTTTAGTTAGGTATATATGACAGCAGAATGCATTTGGATTCATTGTACACAATTGTGGCACAACTTTTCRTTTCTCTGATTGTACACGATGTAGCGTCACACCATATGTGCAGTTATACGTGTACTCAGGGTAATGATGTCTATATCATTCTACCATCTTTCCTGACCCCATGCCCCCACCTCATCTCTCCTTCCCCTTTCTCCAATCAAAGTTCCTCCATTTTTCCCATTACTTCCCCCATATGGATCAGCATCCACTTATCAGAAAGAAGATTCAGCCTTTGGTTTTTTGGGATTGGCTTACTTCAYTTAGCATGATAATCTCTAACTCCATCTATTTACCTGCAAATGTCATAATTCTATTCTCTTTTAATTCTGAATAATATTCCATTGTGTATACATACCACAGTTTCTTTATCTATTCATCAATTGAAGGGCATTTTTGTTGGTTCCACAGTTTAGCTATTGTGAATTGAGCTGCTATAAACATTGATGTGGCTATGCTACTATAGTATGCTAATTTTAAGTTCTTTGGGTATAGACTGAGGAGTGGGATAGCTGGGTCAATTGGTGATTCCATTCCAAGTTTTTTAAGGAATCTCCATATTGCTTTCCAGATTGGTTGCACCAATTTGCCATTCCACCAGCAATGTATGAGTGTGCCTTTTCCTCCACATCCTTGCCAAACTTACTGTTTTCTGTATTCTTAATAACTGCCATTCTGACTGGCATGAGAACAACTGAGAAAAATCTTAGAGTAGTTTTGATTTGCATTTCTGTAATTAATAGAGACGTTGAACATTTTTTTCATATATTTGTTGATCGATAATATATCTTCTTCTGAGAAGTGTCTGTTCAGCTCCTTAGACCATTTTTTGATTGGGTTGTTTGTGTTTTTGGTGTTAAGTTCTTTGAGTTCTTTATATATCCTGGAGATTAGTGCTCTATCTGACATGCATGTGGCAAAAATTTGCTCCCAAAATGTGTGGTCTCTCTTCACCTGATTGATTGTTTCTTTTGCTGAGAAGAAGCATTTTAGTTTGAATCCATTCCATTTATTGATCCTGGGTTTTATTTCTTGTGCTTTAGGAATCTTGTTAAGGAAGTCAGGGCCTAATCTGACATGATGAAGATCTGGGCCTACTTTTTCTTCTATTAGGCACAGGGTCTCTGGTCTAATTCCTAGGTCCTTGATCCACTTTGAGTTGAGTTTTGTGCATGGTGAGAGATAAGGGTTTAATTTCATTTTGCTGCATATGGATTTCTAGTTTTCCCAGCACCATTTGTTGAAGAGGCTATCTTTTTCCCAATATATGTTTTTGGCTCCTTTGTCTAGTATTGAAGCCAGAATTAAAAATAGGTATTCAGTGTAGATACATAAATGGAGCCAAGTTGAGAAAAACAGACCCAACTGGTTTGGGTCCAAAAGGTTGAAGACTCCACTGTGGGAGATTGAAAAGTTAATGTCCCCCAAATCCTGGCATATTGAGCAGACATGGAACTGCTAATTAATTCACCCTGGGTCCCCCTTTCTGCCTGGATCACACCTCCCCAGCCCCTTCAGCCCGCCTGTTTACCACCTTTTGGCTTTCCCACGGGAATCTCTTAGTCACATATATGGGATGAAGGGAAATGAACAAGATAAGGAGGAATAGTGTAGAAGAATAAAGAAAACTTTAGATGTATAAAAGAGATGGGACTTCCTCATCCCACAGCTTCCACCTTTTGGGTCCTCTTCTTCCTCTGGAAGAAGTCCGTTCAACTATCCTTTAAATAAAGCTTCTTACTTTCTACTCTACACTTGCCTTGGCGCGCTTCTCTGGTGTTATACTTACTTTAGCATTTGGGGAAGTAGGACTCATCAATATAACTGGTAACCGTCAGTATCAGTATGAGATAACTGTATTTATGTGGGTTTGTCTCTGTGTCTTCTATTCTGTACCATTGGTCTACATGTCTATTTTTATGCCAGTACCATGCCATTTTTGTTACTATAGCTTGGTAGTATGGTTTAAGGTCTGGTATTGTGATGCCTCCTGCTTCACTCTTATTGCTAACGATTGCTTTGGTTATTCTGGGTCTCTTATTTTTCCAAATAAATTTCATGGTTGATTTTTCTATTTCTACAAGGAATGACATCGGGGTTTTAATTGGAATCACATTGAATCTGTTTAGCACTTTGGGTAGTATGGCCATTTTGACAATATTAATTTTGCCCATCCAAGAGCATGGGAGATTTTTCCATCTTCTAATATTTTCTTCCCTCATGGCAGAAATATGGAACGTTTCATGAATTTGTGTGTCATCCTTGCACAGGGGCTATGCTAATCTCTGTATSGTTCCAATTTTAGTATATGTGCTGAGGAAGCGAGCACCATTTGAAGTTATTTTTTTTTTACAGGACCTGTAGAGTAAAGGTTGAGGGTGGTATATTTTCCATGTATCCACATCCAATTGTTCCAATGCCATGTGGAAAAAATATCTTTTCTGCATAGAGTCATCTTGGGAGCTTTGTCAAAATTAATTGGTTTATATATGAGTAGGTTGATTTTTAGACTTCACACTCTTCCTTTGATCTGTATGTCTATTCTTATGCCAATACTACAGCATCTTCAATACTCTAGCTTTATAGTATGTCCTGATATCATATAACATTAAATTACAATTTTTTTGTTTTCCCAAACAGTATTTGCCTTTCTAGTTTCTCTGCATTTCTATACAAATCAGTTAAAATTTGGATTAGAATTATACTGAATCTGCAGATCAATTTGGGGAGATTTGCCAACAATATCATGTTTTCCAAACTGTGAACATGACATATTTCTAGATTTAATTAGATTTGCTTTAATTTTTCTGAATATCATTTTGTAGTCTTTGCATGAGTCTTTCACAATCTTTGTGAGATAAATTCTTAAGTATTTCACATATYTAATGCTATTGTAAATATTATTTTTAAATTTCAAGTTCCACATTTGTTATTACTTGTACGTAGCAATTGACACATACATTTTGTGATATCACTAAGCTTACTTAATTTTTTTTGGCAAACTTATTTAGATTTTCCATATAGGCAATCATGTTATTTATTAAAAGACAGTTTCTTTACTCTTCTTTTTGTGTGGTTTTGTTTCTTTTGCTTTTCAGGTTGTTAGGTCAGGATCTCCAGCACAAGTTCAAGTAGGAGAGTTGACAGCACATGTCAATGTCTTTCCAGACCTATTGTTGAATTCAGATTGCTATTTCTTTATGAAAGAATTTTACAYTTATGTTCAAAAGGCATATTAGTATTTCTTTTAATACTTTTGGTTTTGGTTTCAGGGTAATACTGGCCTTAAAAGATGAGTTGAGAACTGTTCCCTCCTATATGTTCTGAATGACCTTAGATAGGATGGGTACTATTACCTCACTAGTGAAGCCCCCATGGCTTGGCATTTTCTCTGTGGAAAGATTTTTAATTATAATTAATTTCTCTAATAGAGTTATGCCTATTCAGATTTTTCTGTTTCTTCTTATAGTAGTTTTAGTAGTACAAGTTTTTCAAGGAATTTGTCTATATTATCTAAGTTCTTTATTGCTCAATGTTTTGTGAAATTCTCCCTTATTATCTTTTTAATGTATGTAGGGCTGTGGTGATATTCCCGGTTTTCTTTCCGATACTACTGTATGTGTTCTCTCTTTCTTCTTTCAAGAACCTAGCAAGAGTTTCATAAATTTTATTATTATTTTTCAAATAGGCATTTTTTTGTTGTTATTTCATTGATTTTTTTCCATTTTGTTTTTTTGTCTTTAGTATATATTTCCTTTGTGTGTGTGTGTGTGTGTGTGTGTGGTTTTAATTGTTCTTTTTATTAGGTAGGAGGCAAAAACTTTATCTTGAATCTTTTTTTCTGTTTTATAAATTTAAAGCTATGGGTTTCCCTCTAATCACACAATCCATTCAATTACTCAGTCCTTCCAATTTCTATCTCTTAAGTAGATGTCAAGTGTGTGGGCATATCTCCAGCTCCATCATTACCACCCTAGAAAAATAAACAAAAAAATTACTCACAGCTCTCCCTCTTGTGGTGACTGAGGGATTTTGTGAATGCTTTATTTTGACACATGACCTGATGGTCATTGATGAAGGGAAAGGAAAAYGATGGAAGAGGCTGATTCGTTTTTAACTATCTTGATCCAGAATTAACAATGGTTATTTTTCTCACTATGCCTTGGCCTAAACTAATCACCAGGTCCCAATCTAACTGCAAAGGAGTGTGGTAAGTATGAGAGAAAATGTATTTGTTGAGCCCCAGAACTATTAATACAAACACCCTTTTATAGATGGAACAACAATATCTTAGTTGGTGAGTATCTAGGCTCTTATTTCTTTTTTCAAATAATATTGCAATATAATTCCTTATGCACATAGGTATCTGGGAGGCTACAGGATGGTCATATAGATATTCTCTGTTTAAATCTGGAGGACAAAACTAGCACCAGTCAGTGTCTATATCAGGAGAAGAGATTGCCGCTTAGTATAAGGAAGAAAATTGTAATAATGCAAAGTACTGAAGGCCTAGATGAAGAAGTGTGTTTTTTATCATGGAGTGTATTTCAGTGCGGGTGTGAGGGTTTGATTCTCTCACAAAGAATAATATGCACAAATGGGAGAAAATTCAAGGATTTTATTATCTTTAGAACTTTATAAGATCAGTATATCTTCTTATGTCCTTGCAAAATGTGTTCTCTTAGCAACAAGAACAACTCAGAGTCAGGAGACATTAATTACTTTTGATAAGTTAATGAAAAACCTTGTATAATTCTATCACCTTAGATATAACCCAAAKAATACAGATTTTTCTTTTCTAAGCCCTTTAAGTTCTCCAGAGATTTTTTTCAACCCTCTGAGAAAGACAATATGTGATAAGRTTTTTTTTTCTCTCCTTCATTCAGTTCCAAGTATTATAGCATGAAGTGTGGGATTGAGTTCTTTGCTTATGAATTAGAGGAATGAAATCCACAGACACAAAGTTGAGAGCAAAGTAGCAGGACTTATTAGAGTAATAGAAAGAAATASAGCAAAGATCCTAAAGGCGAGGGGTCCCAAGAGTGGCTATTATCTAGGAGTTTCTATGGATCTAGGGTTAAAGGAGCTAACCCCTSACCCAATCCTGGGTAAGGCACTCRGTGTTCCCCAGMTTTTCAAGGGTTCTTTGGACCAAACAGGTTGCTGTGCCCCCTTTTCCTTTGCTTGGGTTCCAAGTATAAGACAGCAGATGTTTCACTGTCAGTGTATTCTGCTTACACAGGAGTCACCCTGACCTTGATGAGGCCTGACTTGTGTCTGTAGTTTCTCAGCCCTGCTGAATAGAAACCTGACCTTGAAGGAGTCCAACTTTCCTGCCCATTCATTTTAACCCTTTCTTCTGCCTCAGTATTTCTTACCATAACCAACAAAGCCTTTAAAAATAATTTGGGTTTACAATGCTTYAGATACCATTAAGCAGAAGTAACATCATAGACAAATGCTGGGGTAATCATTTCTTTGGAATYACTCCTTTATACATAGCCTCCAGAAATCAAGGATTATGGTGGACTATGCAGTCATATTTGTAACAAAAGAATCCATTTGATTGAAACAGGAATGACCATCAAAATCAATGGGAAACTGTCTGTTGATGTTGCTCAATGAAGTCAATTTGCTTTCTCAAGACTTTGCACTAAAGATGCAGAAATGCAGTTAGATGGCAGAAGGAACTAGAAATGAGAGATCATATRGACCTGGATTTGAAAGTAATGTGAGACAAGGGAGCCATTTACAGGCGTCTGTCTTGGGCAATGTAACTAAAGAACTTGACTAAGGAAGTTGGTCTTTAGCAAGGAAAGTGGAGCTGTGGTGTGGAAAGGAGCAGAAAGAGTGTTTGGGATCCAGACAGAGACAGAGGAGCAGCTTCAGAGCTTGTTTTTATTTTATTTTATTTTATTTTATTTTTGTTTCTTTTTTTTCCAACTCCAAGTCTCATGTGAAGGTGGAAATGAATTCCTTTTTATGGAGGTATGCACTATTCAATAAATTTGAAGTTTATGTTTGATTCCTTTTTTMAAGTTACCTTTTATTTTGAARTAATTTGAGGTTTATATAAATGWTGCCAACACAGTATAGAGAATTCCTCCATCTCCCTCATCCCATCCCTCCATTATCGATGTGCAAGTTTCCATGCAACTTTTGTCAAAACTAAGAAAGCAACATCGTATTAAGGAAATGCCACACTTTATCTGGATTCCACCAGTTTTTCTATTAATGTCCTCTTTCTGCTTCAGGATCCCAATCCAAGATCCACTACAGACATTATAGTTACTTGCCACTTTTTCATCTTTTTTGGTCTGTGACAGTCTCAAGCTTTTCTTATTTTTATGACCTTGACCATATTTTGTAGATTATCTCCCACAGATTATCAGATTATTTTGTTTGATGTTCTCATGATTAGACTGAGACTCAGTTTGGGAGAAGACCACARAAGTAAAGTGCAATCTTCAGGATTAATGCATCTGATATCTATATAACATCACTGGTGACATGAACCTTTATCACCTGGATTATGCTTTTTCTGAATCTCAATGTTAATCTCTCAAAGAATCCCTCAAAAGCCTGGAGGATCAAGATAAGAAACAAAAACTAGGATCCATTTCCAAATATGTCCAGAAAAATATGTTCTCCCAAAGCTGCCAGGATACATGCAAAACAAAGCTTTTTTTTTTTAATCTCATATTTTAGMCTTTTTGATGTATCCCAGAATATTCTTAAAAAGAGAAAGGCTGCTCTTATTAACAGGAGTGTATAAGATTCTTGCTGTGCGGTGGTGCRGAAGTCACAGAATGCYAAGCTCTGAACTGAGCACCACCTTGTAACAGGTTTCTCCACTATGGAGTTACTATTTTTCTCTTTTCCTATACTATTCTTTGGAAGTGAGTCACTAAGTATAGGCCACTGTATTAATCAGGATTGCCCAGAGAAGCAGACAGACAGACACACACACACCATTTATTATAAGTCATMGGCTCACATGTTTATGGAGGCTGGTAAGTCTCAAGATCTACAGGGTAGTGAGCAAAAAGGAGATGCAGGGAACCATGGTGAAGGCTGGCAGCTCAAGACCCGGGTACAGAGGACATTTCAGTTTGAGTCTAAAGGTAGGAAAAAAACCAAAGTCATAGTGCAAGCAGGAAGAGCTCTTTCCTACTCCACCATGAGCTTTCTCCTACTCAGGGAAGTGTGGATTTGCTGTTCTGTTAGGCCTCCTCTGATTGGATGAGGCCATTAGAGAGAACAAGCTGTTTTACTCAGCGTACAGATTCAAATGTTGATCTCACACAAAAACATCCTCACAGAAACATC